CCCTGGGCGCCCGGGATTACCTGGACTACCGGGACGTACCATAACAGGACCAAAAGTAAAAGCTTTTCTATTGCAATATGGAAATAAACCAAATTTGGGGTATTTTTCATATAAAATGAAGAAAAGCTTGTTTTCACAAGTCACTTTCTGACTTTTGAACCCCACGATATATGCAAAAAACCTTTCAAATGCACAGTGTGTCTGTAAAAAAAGCATTGTATTGTCTCATTGTAGGGTGATTTCGGCCCGCCAGGTCCATCTGGTCCAGTAGGAGAGACGGGATATGGACTTCCTGGGCCAAAGGTTCATTTAATTCTTAATTGTTATTAAGACTGTAAAATAAACACATGCTATTAATCCATGTTGTCAGTCTTGATTAAGCATCAATGGATTTGCTCATGCTTTGTTTCTCAGGGTGATCGTGGTGACCCAGGTCCTCCTGGTCTAAGTGGACCAAAAGGGGACGGCTATACTGGTCCCTCAGTGCGTTAAAAACCTCCACAGGCTCTTATTAAAATCCATTCATGATTATGACATCATTCTGTAGTGAGGTTCTCATAATTCACCATTAAGTCATATTTTGTTGTTGATGTTTTACAGGGGCCTCCTGGTCTTCCAGGTCTTCCAGGAGAACCTGGTCCAGAGGGCATAGGAATATCTGGACCAAAGGTAGGACTGTTCTTATGTGTCACCCTAAAGCAGATCACCTGTATATGAATATTATGATCAAATGGGGGTGTAAACACAGGTATTTCATCATGACTGTGTCTCAGGGTGATATTGGCTTCAGAGGTTTACCGGGCCCACCTGGACCTCCAGGCGAAGGACTACAAGGACTCCCTGTACGTCATCAAACGCAGACAGATATTATATCTTGATTTAGCCCTTGTCAATCTCATTCAGCTCTTCTTAGCTTTGATTTAGTGCATTCTTGCATTAGATCCTCTCCCATTGTGCCATAAGATTTCAGACTGAGATGGGTAAGACGGAGTATAGTAAAAGTAAAAATTATATGGTGGCATGCAATTAAATAAGCAACAGTAAAGGGTAAATAATTACACATTTAAGAGTGGATATCAGCAAGAACTCCTCACCATAATACAAAAGTAAAAATATTTCTGTGTGTTGATGAACATATCATATGAAAAGCATTTAAAATATTAAATATAAAATATTATTTACCATTCTAAAGTTTTTTTTATTCAGCAAAGCCACAACAAATTAATCAAACGTGACAGTGAAGACATTTATAATGTTACAGAAGATTTTCAAATAAACTTTCTATTCATCAGAGAATTCGGAGAAAAAAATGCATGAGAGTTTCCACAAAAATATTAAGCATAACAGCTGTTTTCAGCAAGGATAATAATAGTAAATGTTTCTTGAGCAGCAAATCAGAATATTATAGTTATTTCTGAAGGATCATGTGACACTGAAGACTGATGCTTAAAATTCAGCTTTGCATCATAGAAATAAATTACATTTTACAAAATATAAAAGTGTTACTTAAAATTGTAATAATGTTTCACATTATTACAGTTTTTACTGTATTTTTGATCAAATAAATGCAGCCTTTGTAAGCAGAAGAGACTTCTTTCAAAAACCAAAACATCTTACCAACCCCAAACATTTGAATGGTAGAGTTTTGGTATAGTACAAAAAAAAATTGTACAAATGTGGCTGATTGTTCCCATAATTAATAATAATGATTTGAAACTTTTAGGTTAAAATGTGTGTTTTGCTTTTTTTTTTTTTTTAAATAAATGGCATCTAATGTTATCACTTGATAATATCTGTAAAGTATTTCTTCTAATATCTGTCTACCTGAATGAACTTCCAATAGAATACGTGACATTCCTCAAAGGCTTAACACCTTAACACCACATTTATCATAGTATCTGTGATGATCGTATATTCACCACAAGATACGCACACACACTTGATCCAAATCTTCTACATATGTCCAGCAAATCCGGATAATGTAATCCAGTAACCTAAACTTCATTCCAGATGTCTCAGTGCTGCTTTTATCTCAGCACCATTGAATCTGAACGTGTTTTACCCTTGACTTGTGTTAATACTGAATGTCTCTGAACAAACCAGGGTAACATGGGAAGACCAGGACCTCCTGGACCTACTGGGCCACCTGGACAAGGCCTACAGGGTCCAAAGGTGGGACACTGGCATAAACAAATCATAAAGATTTGAACACATTTATATGTGTTTTCAAACCCATCAGCATATCTTATACACTATTGCAGGGTGATCAGGGGTCACAGGGTGTGAGCGGGCCAAGAGGACCTCCTGGAGAAGGAATGCCCGGGTCAAAGGTCTCAGGTTTTGTTAAATAATCTGTGTTGTGATTGAATATTTGTACAGTTTAATATGAAGCCCATTTGTGTTGTTCAGGGGGATCGTGGAGGTCAGGGCGAGAGAGGGATGAAGGGGGTTAAAGGTGATATTGGAGATTCTGGCGTTCCTGGACAAACAGTTAGTAAATTACCCTCAGCATTGACAGAGTTGCTGCCTGTGTGAAGCATTTCAAATCAGTCATAATGTATACGAGTTTCTATTTCATATCGGATGCAGCCTAAATAATAGACAGCAAGGTAATTTGTTAAAATGTGGTCATGTGCAATGAAATAAATAATTTGGTTCAATAGCATGCAATGAAATACACATCCCAATAAAATGCATTAAAAAAATTGTAAAACTGAAACATTTAAGAACAACAGAAATCAGTAAGAACTTCTCACCATTATTTAAAGCAAACTATGTTTAAAGCAATTTATGTTTATAAAATATCTCAGTCATGTAATTTCCCTTTTTCTGTATATTTTGAGATTTGAGATTATAACTCACTAATTTACTTTTTTCAGGGTAGACCAGGAATCAAAGGAGAATCTGGACTAACGGTGTGTCTTTTACATCTTTCACATCATACTACATCATTCAAATCATAATATGCATTTTATGCATATATGCATTTCAAACGACATGCATATTAATTTTTTTTTTTTTTTTTTTAGAGGGACGACATAATCAGAATGATCAGGGAGATTTGTGGTATGTGTATCCCACATTACATTTGAACATAATTTGCTTTATATACTGTTCAAAAGTTTGGGGTCTGTAAGATTTTAAAAAAATGTCTCTCCTGCTCACCAGGACTGCATTTATTTGATAAAAAATACTGGAAAAACTGTAATATTGTGAAACAATTTTGCAGTTTAAAATAACAGTTTTCTATTGTAATACATTTTAAAATGTAATTTATTTCTGTGATGCAAAGCTGAATTTTCAGCATCATTACTCCAGTCTTCAGTGTCACATGATCAAGAAACATTTCTATATTTTTGTGGAAACTGTGATACATTTTTTCAATATTTTTAATGAATAGAACGTTTAAAAGAACAGCATTGATTTGAAATAGAAATCTTTAACATTATAAATTGATATTGTCACTTTTAATCAATTTAATGGATCGTAAATAAAAGCATTAATTATTTTAGAAACATTTTACTCACCCCACTTTTGAATGGTAGTGTGTAAAGTTCATGAAATGTCCTGTATTGTCTATCAGGTTGTGGAGTCAAGTGTAAAGAGCGTCCCATGGAGCTGGTATTTGTGATTGACAGCTCTGAAAGCGTCGGGCCTGAAAACTTTGAGATCATCAAGGACTTTGTGGCCACTCTGGTCGACAGACTCACCGTGGGGCGTAATGCCACCCGAGTCGGTCTCGTTTTGTACAGCTTAGAGGTCCAGCTTGAGTTCAACCTCGCTCGCTACATGACCAAACAAGATGTCAAACAAGCGATACGCAGGGTTCACTACATGGGCGAGGGAACATACACCGGCTCTGCCATCCGCAAAGCAACTCAGGAAGCATTTTACAGTGCAAGGACGGGGGTCAGGAAGGTTACCATTGTCATCACAGACGGACAAACGGATAAACGGGAGCCTGTGAAGCTGGAAATCGCTGTCAGGGAGGCGCATGCAGCTAACATTGAGATGTACGCTCTGGGGATTGTTAACATTAGTGATCCGACACAGGAAGAGTTTCTCCAGGAGCTCAATCTCATTGCGTCGGACCCTGACAGTGAGCACATGTTCTACATAGACCACTTCAACACCTTGCCAGGTAACAGATACAACAAACTTGAGGCTGAATGCCAATTCACGTACTTCTACTATATGAAAATACTTATGTTTGCATGCGATACATATGGAGGTATGCAAATAACCTTCAATATGTGCAAGATGTTTTTTCTCACAAAATGGTGTATTTATGGTGCATCTACCAGCAGGGGCATGTTTTTTTGTTTTGTTTTGGTTTGTTTTTTTATATCCCTTTTTATCTTGACTCACTATTTGATTGCACTGCTAGTAAGTCATTTTTAAACAAACTTTATACATTTTACACAAACGTGAATATGTTAAATATGCTAAATATTTGCATTTTGTATGATCATAACTGCACTTCAACATCTAAAGTCTTTGGTGCAGCAGTTATACCTTAAAAAGCCTGAATAATTAAAGTTAAATTTACTTTTGATTTATTACAATAAAATTGCAATTCATTATTACAATGATCATATACTATATTTATTTAATTTCAATAAATCCAAATGATTGGCTTAATCTGGAATTGATCAGATGTTTACATTTGGGTAGAATTAAATATCTAATATTGCTTTTCTCTCTTTTTAATTCACAGCTCTGGAGTCCAAACTGGTCAATCAGCTCTGTGAGGATGAAAACGGAGCACTTATCTTCAGTCGCATTAATGGTTTTGAAAACGGATATGGTATTAATGGCAACCGCATCAATGGTAATGGCAGGTACAATTATGGCACAAACATAAATGAAGGCCACAGAGAGAACACGAGAACACACTCTGGGATGAACACTGTCACTCACGAGAGCGGGAGAGGAGACACGTTTGCTCCAACAGCTGGTCCAGACATTACTGAGGTTAGTGCACTGATGGTCTCAACAGTGACCACCCGCTTTCTTGCTGGCCTTGGTTTAGTAATAAAGATAATGAATGGAATTTTTACTTGCGCTCAACTTTGATTTTGTTTTGAGTGTTTTTAGAGTTTCTAATGTTCTCTCAGGAGGATGAGCGGGTACCTGAGACACCAGACACAAACACTTCAGAGCAGAGCAGCGGTAGAGGAGATACTCCAACAGACACTGGGGCATCCACACACAGCAGGCCTTCATCAGGGACAACATCATCATCATCAACATCAACTGTGAACACCTCAACCTCAGTGCGGTATATACCAGCACCACGACCACCATTGCCTAAAGGTAAAAACAAAACACATTCACTAATACATGACAAAATACTCTACTGTTCAAAAGCTAGGGATCAGTAGGATTTCTCTTAATTAGTTAGTTAAAGAAGTGAATGCTTGTATTCAGCAAAGATGCATTAAATAAATCAAAAGTGACAGTAATTACTTAAATATTGTTACAAAAGATTTCTATTTCAAATAAATACAGTTTTTTTTTTTACTTGAAAAACGTATCACAGTTTCTGCAAAAAAACAGCAAGCAGCACAACTGTTTTCAACATGGATAATAATCAGAAATGTTTCTTGAGCAGCAAATCAGCATATTAGAATGATTTCTGAAGATCATGTGACACTGAAGACTGGAGTAATGATGCTGAAAATTTAGCTTTGATCACAGAAATAAATGACATTTTAAAGTATGCATATTACAATAGAAAATGTATTTTAAATAGTATCAGTTTTCTGTATCTTTGATCAAATAAATGCAGGCTTAGTGAGCATAAGAGACTTCTTTCAAAAAAAAAAAAAATCTTACCAACTACAAACTTTTGAATGGTAGTGTACATTCTCCAAATGCCTAATTTCATAGATACTCATTCATTTTTTGGGAAACATTATCTAACAAATAAAGCATCTTGTTCGTTTTGTGACATTTACTTGCATCTTTTTTTTTTTTTTTACTTATTTAAAAGTGCAAAGTCTGCTGCACATGCATGCACAGGATGTGTGATATCACATGCATTCCAGATCATCTTGTCACCAAATTACCTATATCATCTGCAGTCTTTTGATTTATTGAAATGTCTGATGAACAACAAAAAAACTCTATAGTTGAAAAAGCAAGTAACTTAGTGAAATGTCTGAAAATGTTGTTCACCAGACAAGATCTGAAATATGTAAATCTTTTTTTTAATCTGTTTTCAGAGGTTGTATCTCTGGACCCCCGTTGTGAGCTGCTCCTGGATCAGGGCCCTTGTCGGGACTATAACATCCGCTGGTATTACGACCGGCAGGCCAACGCCTGCGCGCAGTTCTGGTACGGAGGCTGTGACGGGAACCGTAACCGCTTTGACACAGAAGAAGATTGCAAAAAGACATGTGTTGTCCTGAGAGCAGGTAAAATGCACATTTGAATTTAACTTATCCCTGGTAGAAATGACTGAAAATGAAAATGGACACCAGTTTCTGCCATATAGTCACACTCTTTTCTTTGCATTTAGGAGGCTGATATCCATTATGGATACATTTCCCTTTGTCTGTAATTCCTCACACTCCAATACAACGGACCTGCACTGAAATACACAAAGTATATGAAAAATTGGTAGGACAGGGCATTTTATTGAGAGTAGCTAATTGATAAAGCACAGTACTTTCATATCACAACCTTCAGAACTGTGAATAAGCAATACTGTAATATTGTACACTGTCATAGTTACACAACATTCATTGAACTGACATTAATGTAATAAATGAAACGTAGTCTTGATTTTGAAAACTAATGTTGTTGGAATCAATGTAATAAAGCTTGTGATTTTGTATCTTGTACTTTTGGTAATAAAATATTTTGTATGTAGATAAATGGCCTGGCTGTTACACTGTCAACAAATCCAGATTTTCTGCAATTTCATGTTCACTAAATCATGCTGCATTTATGTTCAGCTCAAGAAAGATTTGTGCTGGTTATTATAGTGTTATAATGAGGTAATAAGGAAGATGTTCTGTAGTGACTTTGAGGTTACACACTGCCATCTCTTGGAGAGAAATTAAGGTACGGTATTATGATAGTGTGATGTCTAAGGATGTCCATAATACCTGAGAAAGCAGTGCCTTAGCATTCCCATTCATCTCAGTGGCAGTACTGGACGTGCATTACCTGAATCCTGCCATTTTTGTTCATGTATATTTATCCTTATTATACAGTAGTAGGGCTCCAATACAATCAACCCCAAACTTCTGAGAAAACCGCATCGAAAATAAAAACCTAATTGCTGAATAAACCTCAGCTAACCTCTAGCAATTAAACTGGTATCTTTTTCACTCGTGCTTGTCATTAATATCTCCTCATGCTTCCTCTTTAACAGTCTCACACATATGTCCCTAATGCTTTGACTTATATTACACGTCTCCTTCCCCCAAAACCTTTCTGTCTGTTTTAATTTTAGTAATAGTGTCTCTAGTGTGACTGGCCCTCTCCTCTGAGCCCTGAGATCATTCTAGAACCATTTGCTAGAGTTGGAAAAACATGAAATCCCATGTATTTATGATTGTCAATGCATTCTTTCAAATGGCACCAGTGAAGTTCAAATAATTAGTCTGAATTATATTTGTAATGACCCTAATTACTGTTTAACCAGGAAGTATTCATCTTTAAATGCGTTTGTACATTTGAAGTTGTGTTTAAGCAATGTTTTCAACACAGAAAAAAATTGTACAAAAGCTTGTCACTGGGATAGTAGCCTTAAAAGGACAACTTTGGACCTTATCGACCCCTAAAAGGTACATATTAGAGTGGTGAAATGAACCCTTAAGGTACTACTATTAACCTTTTATTGGTAAATTAGATACAAAGATGTCCCTTTGAGGGTAATTTGTACTCTTTGTACCCCTAAAGGTACAGTTTTTGCTCTATTTTCTGAGAGTGCACAAATATAACCAGCTACAGATCCATGTCCTCCCAGGATCTGACATATGAATAATAAAGTTTGACTCAAGACACCGAGTGGTTGAGGCAGTTGAAAATGGCTCATCACCTGTTGTAGTCGCAGCTGTCTTTAAACACTGCTAGCGGAACCCTTCGTTTATGTGGGGAACTGAACTCAAAGACACTTGCATAAAAACATCCAGACAAAGTATAGAAGAATACATTGGAATTGGTAAAACTTGTAGACTCACAGGTCTCCTCAGAGCTTTATGTGACAGCTGACGTCTAGGCTGGCCATCACATTGGGATCTCCTTCTTCACAACTAGCATTGAGGGATGAGAGAGGCAGTGGGGGTGGACAAGAGCGGGAGGGTTATATTTAGAACTGCAGGATTAAATAACAGCCCCTTCACTCTGGGAATCTTTTCAGCACTCTGTCCTTTTCCAGCCCGGCCGGTGTGGCGAGCAGACCTGTAGCCACCTTCTCCCCTTTTTCTTCTCTTGTCCGTCAATTCCCATCTTGAAACGCAACAGCATGGATCCTAAAGCCATAAAGGAGGAGCTGCGGCTGTTCCAGAGCACCTTGCTTCAGGATGGACTGAAGGAACTTCTGAATGAGAACAAGTTTGTGGACTGCACTTTGAAAATTGGCGACCGCTGCTTTCCCTGCCACCGCCTGATCATGGCCGCCTGTAGTCCTTACTTCAGAGAGCTCTTCTTCTCCGAGGACGGCAAGGAGAAGGAAAGCAGCAAGGAAGTAGTTCTGGACGACGTTGATCCCAATATCATGGATATGATCATCCAGTATCTGTATTCCGCTGAGATCGACTTGACGGACGACAACATTCAGGAGATCTTTGCAGTGGCGAACCGTTTCCAGATTCCCTCAGTGTTTACAGTATGTGTGAACTATCTCCAGAAGAAGCTGTCGCTGTCTAACTGTCTTGCCGTCTTCAGGCTCGGCCTGGTCCTCGGCGTTCCCAGGCTCGCCATAGCAGCACGCGATTTCATCGCTGACCGCTTTGAAACTGTGGCGGCCGAAGAGGAGTTCCTTCAGCTGGCATCTCACGAGCTCTTGGCCCTGATTGGTGGAGATACGCTTAACGTGGAGAAGGAGGAGGTCGTGTTTGAGTCGGTGATGAAGTGGGTGCGCAGCGACAAGGCCAAGCGCGCCAACAATCTGGGCGAAGCGTTCGAGTGCATCCGTTTCCGCCTTCTTCCGGAGAAGTACCTCCGGGAGAAAGTCGAGACCGATGACATCATCAAGGCAGATCCAGAACTCTTGAAGAAGCTGCAAGTCATCAAAGACGCCTTCGGAGGAAAACTCCCCGAGAAGAAACCCAAAGAGAAGAAGGAAGGAGAGGTGAACAGAGAGGACGGAGCAGAGGAGGAAGAGGAGCTGCTACCGGGTTACTTGAACGATAATCGTAGACTGGGGATGTACGGACGAGACCTGATCCTCATGATTAATGACACGGCTGCTGTGGCGTACGACGTGGCCGAGAATGAGTGTTTTCTGGCTGCCACGGCAGAGCAGCTGCCGAAGAACCACGTGAGTCTCTGCACCAAGAAGAACCAGCTCTTTATCATTGGTGGCCTGTTTGTCGATGAAGACAGCAAAGAGTCTCCTCTGCAGTGCTACTTCTACCAGGTACAAAATAACTTTAAAAACTAGGTACTGGTGTGATGGTAACCACAATAGGTTTCTTAAACTACCTTTACCAAAATGGTCTTCGCCAAGAAGATCATGCTGGTCCACTTGCTAGACCAGGACCAGCATGGTAATCCATATTTTTGGTCTTTTCATGGGACTTTAAAATAAAATAACTTTAATCTGCAAACTTGAATCAATTTCCTAGATACTTCACAGGTTAAAGTTATCTTCAATCCTCTATTTAGAGTATCTGAATTGAGCTTCATTTATGGTAATGACAACACTTTACAATACATTTCAATTTGATAACATGAACTAACAATGATCAGTGCTTTTACAGTGTTTAGGTTAATTGTATATTCAACATATACTAATGCATTATAATTATTTAAAGTTGCATAAATTAACATTAATTATTATAACGAAATATGAATTAACTATGCTTTCCACATGGTTTCAAAGCAGCTTTACAAAATATCGAGATGTTAATAATGTCTTAATATCTTCATACCTTATGCATTTAGCAGATTAAACTGTATGTATGCAGATATATCCAACTTTACTTAAAGAGCTGGGCGATAACGTAGTAACATTTTGCGACAATAAAACTTAAAACTATGTAAACAATATTAGCCTATATTTATAAATGAACATGAATCTAGATGAATAAATTCAGTAAAAATAGTTGTTTGTTGTTAGTTCAGGATATCTACACTAATGTTAATAAGTTGTTCCATACTGTAAAGTATTATGGAACTTATTTGTCATTTTAAAACTATTCTATCTTATTCAGTTGGACAGTATTGCTGCAGATTGGAGGGCAATGCCACCTATGCCCAGCCCTCGATGCCTGTTCAGTATGGGTGAATGTGCAAACCTGCTGTTCGCCATCGCTGGCAAAGACCTGCAGACCAACGAGTCCCTCGACTCCGTCATGTGTTATGACACTGAGTATGAATTCAAAAGCTTTGTCTGTCCAACTGCTGATACTGCTCTTCACACTTGACTGCTGGCTCGGATGTGTGGCTTCAATAGTATTTCATGTCATTGCAGAAAGATGAAATGGCACGAGACCAAGAAACTTCCTCTGCGTATTCACGGCCATTCAGTTGTCTCACATAACAACCTGGTGTACTGCATTGGAGGAAAGACAGATGACAAGTAAGTGTGTGTGTGTGTGTGTGTAACTGTGATCAGAGGTGCTCAGGAACATATGGTGTAGTTTGCAGCTGTCTGTGATCCATCAAAGTTCCTCAAAAATCCTCTGTACATGACATTTAAAGGGCTCTTATCACGAGAAACCAATGACGTATTCATCTTTTCAGATAAAACAACTTGATGAAACATCCTCTTCCTCTTCAGTCCTAAAAAAGCATTTATTGAAATAGAGCAGCTTAGTTGCTACTATTACTAAACACCAAAAAACTAGTAAAAAGTAAAGGAAACCTGCCCAACTGTGCACTGTTCCTGCCTGTGTGTAGCACCTACATTCTGCATGTTTGAAACGAGTGGCTTAAGTTTATCTTGATATAAATAAATAATAATAGAAAATTATACAATTATACATTGTATATGTACCTAAATATGAAGAACAGCCCCTTTAAAAGTCAGATTGAGCTGGAGCACAAGTTACTACTTTTTAAAGAAAGATTACAAAACAATATTTTTATTTAAAATAATTTGAACCAATGGATTTTTCACAATAACTCCAAGAATGTGCTTTAAGAATGTACTGTACATAAGGTCAGCTTTGATTTCATATTGAAAGTCGACATCATTTGGTGCATTGTAAATTATTTGATTAAAAAATATAAAAGTAAATAAATCTCTCTTTTCTCTCTCACAGCAAAGCTATCAATAAAATGTTCGTGTACAACCACAAGCAGTCAGAATGGCGAGAACTGGCTGCTATGAAGACGCCCAGAGCGATGTTTGGTGCCATAGTTCATAAGGGGAAAATCATCGTAACTGGGGGAGTGAATGAGGAAGGACTCACAGCTTTATCTGAAGTCTACGATTTTGGCACAAACAAGTATGATTTCTCACCAGTGTTATTTATATATTATTAAAGTATTTATCAAATATTTTGAACTGGCTTTTATTTATATCGTTCTAATTTTTAATTTAATTTTAGTTAATTATTTTTTTTTTATGTGCTTTTGTCATTATTATTTAAAATATTTCTATTTATTTTCCATTTATTTTTATCT